AAACGTCCATCAGGGTAGCTGACCGTGAAACATGATTCATCAGAAATAACAACTTGTCTCCAATCTCCACCAGCTGCCCATCGCTGCCGTGCTTCAAGATTTGTCCACGGTAGGGCCGTCGACACCTCAAATTCCTGGCAGCAAGACGACGACGCACTGTACAGTCACTGATGTGTCTTCCACGAAGACCAATGGTTGCATTTGCCGTTGACCTGGCAGACGTGAAGTGATTTCTGAGGTGGCTGTTAACGATTTGACGATCTTGTCTCTGTGACGTCACAGGCGGTGCACCTGGTTGAGGACGGTCCCTTACGCTGCCTGTGGTTCTCAACCGCTCATGTAATCTCGATATTGTTGTTTGATGGCAATGGAAATGAGCAGCAAATTGTTCTAGGGTACGGCCAGCATTTAACATCCCCATTGCTTCATTACGCTGATCTTGCGTTAACCATGGCATTGTGTAGGCAAATGATGGCAAAATGTCATGGTGTGCATTTATAGGGCCTACCTTTGAGGTTCGCACGTGCATCATGCCTTTCACAAAATGTGCATCGATAGCAGCATTCCCAGTGGTGTGTTGCGTTTTGGTGGTTGGCTTCGTTTCCAGAAACAGTTTTTGTTTGCAACCCATATGACAGGTTTACAGTAATAACCAACAATTGACAGTGTCAACAAGGTAAAATGTAAACGGACCTCATATGTTCTTAAAAAATTATATCTTAAAATTAAGTATGCGGATCTAATGCCACTCAGTATACATACAACTTCCAGACGTACTTATATTAAATTTATAAGATGTTGTTTATCAGTTCTAAAAATAGCCACCCGATGTCCCTTAGCCTATGTTATTACGCTAAATTATGCAATCTTCTACAAATGGAATGGTGTACCTTTATCTCGAAGTTAGCATTTGGCACAGAAACAGGTGTTTTCAACAAGTGGACGGACTAAATAGTGATTGCCAATACTAATAAGGTACATGTACACTGTAGTACTGTACTATATTTGTCACAATTGTTATCGAAATACATTTCAATTTGTCATTGTGTTCTGAATTCCTTGTGAATAGTTGTATTGCGATGTATCTATATTCTAGTCATATTGCGATGTATCTGCATATCAGTCGTATAGCGATGTATCTATATATCAGCCGTATTGCGATGTATCTATAAATCAGTCATAAAGCGATTTATATATATAATTTGTATAGCGATGCATCTATATGCCGGTCATATTGCAATGTATCTATATATCAGTCATATTGCAATGTATCTAGATATCAGTCGTATTTCAATGTATCTTTATATCCATCATATGGCGATGTATCTAGATATCAGTCATATTGCAATGTATCTTTATATCAGTTGTATTGCAATGTATCTTTATATCCGTCGTATTGTGATGTATCTATATATCACTCGTATTGTGATGTATCTATATATCAGTCGTATTGCAATTTATCATATAATGGGTAGGATTCTCGGCAGGATAAAGCCAATGGATAAAAACGATATCCATTGGGGTCATATGCTGATAGAGATGCAAATATCAAAGGTCAAGTAGGGACTACTTTCACTGTTTAGAAACAAACATGGCATCGCCCTCGTCATTCGGCGATCGAGTCAGAATTAACCATCCGGAATCTGGATGAACTACAGGGATAATTGCTATCATTATCAAAAGAACAGTCTAATATACTGAAAATCAGTGTCTAACTGTGACGTAGCTAAGGCATTTTATAAGTTTTGGCAGCTTTGGAGATATAAATTTCGAAACAATTTTGCGAGGGCACGAGATCTAGCCAAGCGGGATCAGTAGCCATATCTGTGCTTGAAGACCTCTGCGGCTTGAAACCTTCTTCACAAATTAAAATAGTTGGATTTGGCCGAAATATGTTTGAATTGTTACCTTGTTTCGTTTTGTCGCTGTGTGAACATCTGACTACACTTCTGAATGTTATGACAGGACAGACCGACAGTCAACAACGTCTGACCGTGGCCGTGACGTCTCATAGACTAGGGTTAGAGTAGCTTCCCTTTGACAAAGGGCAGTTACTCTAGCGGGCAGACCGATGGATTGCCGCAAAAGGCAATTAAAAACAGTTGTTGTTTTTCATATATGTTGCTTCGCCACTGTATAAGAAACAGATTTCAGTTGGAACTATATTTGCTACTGTCACTGTCCAACTGACACATCACTTACCCTGTGACGTAATAAATATTAATGCGTGCATTCCAGGAAAACTAGCAATGTTTCGGTAATGTTTGTGAGAGAGGGAAAGCGATTTTGAAGCACAGAATTAAAGAATGACATTATATGATTAAAGAGGTTATCACGCTTTTGTGTTTGGGGATGGTAAATATCCTGTATTAGGAATAAACACTATGTATTTAGCTCGCCAAGGCTCGCTAAATACAATGTTTATTCCTAATGCAGCATATTTACCATCCCCAAACACACTCGCATGATAACCACTTTGTATCTTTATGTCAGTCATATTGCAATGTATCTATATATCAGTCGTATTGCCATGTATCTATATATCAGTCGTATTGCCATGTATCCTTATGTTAGTCGTATTGTGATGTATCTATATATCAGTCATATTGAAATGTATCTATATATCAGACGTATTGAAATGTATCTATATATCAGTCATATTGCAATGTATCTATATCGGTCATTGTCAAAAAATGTCAAAATTTCACAACAGCAAAAATAACAAATTGAAGTATTTTCAAACTGGAATTTTATTATTCAAACCAATAGATAGTACAATTAAGTGTACAAAACCACCAAAATGCAACCTTAATGGCAAACAGTTTAAATGACATAATGTCAACTTTGAGCATGGAAGTTGTCAAGGATTCCATCCTGTTACTGTTAAAAATGATCTTGTTTTACATTAAAAGATACAGTTAAATAAATAATTTTACATCCAGAGAATAGTGCACCATAAGTGTAATAATGCATCAAATCCACTTTAAGGATTATCTTTCAATATTTCATCAATCAACATCAATGATAATATCTGGTTATAGTTTCATTTCTGCTGCATTTCGAAGTTTATAAAATGGACATAACTGTTTTAAGATAATAATTAACATCATGTGTAATAAGATCACACTTTTTAAGTTGTAAGTACAATAACAGTATACAAAATAAGCAATTATATTTGTTTTTCATTTTTTATTTAATGGTAACAGGATGGAAATCATGGTAACAGGATATAACTTTAAGGTAACAGTAAGGAAAAAGTCATTATTTTATCAAATAATTATGAAAATTTCACATAAATGTAAACATTGAGTGATTCCCCACTGTGTTCTTGTGACTTAATTCAACATAGAGAAAATCTTTCTTGACTAAAATAGCTGATTCAGCATGGAGAATACAAAACTATATCCTGTGGTAACAGTTTGGAACAAAAGTAACAGGATGGAAAATCTTACATCCATCTTGAGAAAACATGTGTGATGTTACTGGTGTTCATTTTCAGTGTATTTATATTTAGGCAAGTACACAATAGATAAAGGCTCTTGGACCTTTATATCAGCAACAAAGCTATCTTGCAATATGTAACTGCTGAAATTCAATAGTTTACAGTTACAGTGTAGCTTTGATTTCTTCCCAAAGTGTGGGATCGAGGCAGAAGTGTGAGTGTGATCCCTCAAGTTGTTTTGGTTGTGGTATAATGGCCAGGATATTTTCCAACTTATACCAACACTTATCTTTAATTTTACGTGGCCAAAAGTAACAATTTGCTCTCCTCCCCACCTTGTGCATACACTCACAATAAACATCACTGTTTCCAATGTCTTCAACAATACCTGGATATGGCAAATTATCATACAGGACTACCACATATTTTCCAAGTAGCCACTCTGTATTTATGTCTTGTTTCATGTTGGCAGTTAAGCCAAACTCTTCAGCTTTCTCTTCTCTTCCTTCCTCCACATTCTTCACTTCATCATGATCTGTCTCTTGATGCTTCCCACTTCCTTCAGTCTTATTTCTCTCTCCATCAGCTTTTTCTCCACCCTTTTCTCCTCTTTCAGTCTCATTTCTCTCTGCACCACCAACTGTCTCAATACTCTTTTCCCTTCCTCCATTCTCTTTTCTCTCTTCATCTTCAACCATCTCACCCCCTTTGTCTCCTTCATTGTCATTTTTCTCTCCATCTTCAACTATCTTGCCTTCATTCTCATTTCTCTCTTCATTTTCAACTGTTCTTCTTCTCTTCCCCATTCCTTCAATTTCTTCTCCAGCATCAACCTTCACTCTTTTCTCCTCTCCTCTCCCTTCTTTTCCAACTCTCTTTTTAGCATCATCAACATTGTTTTGATTCTTCCCATTTCTTCTTTTATCCTTCACTTCATAATCCTCCACATCAACCCTCTCATTGCTTCCTTCACTCCCCACTTCATAATCATTTTCTTCTTTGCTTTTAGCATTCCCTTCTCCAACATCAGTTTTCTGCTTTTGTTTCTTTCTGTTGTCGTAATTCTGAATTGTGTGATCCTTGCCATGTCCTTCTCCAGATTGTTCAAGTTCTTGATCATCTTCATGGATTTCAATCGGTAACACACATACAAAGTGATTGGGCACCCAGAGTTGTTGTCTCATATCTGCTCGTGTAGTGCTCAACATTATGTGGGCAATAGGCGACTTTCTTTGAACACGTGGCATAATAAGCCTATTCAAATCTTTCCTGACATTTGCATTACCCAATTTTGGGTAGATGGAGAACAAAGGCATTTGGAGGACACTTGAAAGGCCAAACATCTGCCAGATACCCATGAATGTTCTTGGTTTTCTGTTTTTAGAACTTCTTGTTCATAAATAGCCCTGATGTTCTCATTTGATAGAACAATGCCAGGAACATACTTGTCAGAAAATATTGCAAATATTTTTGTGAGATCATGTTTTGCTGGGACTTCTATTCCTTTCTGGAAGTGTTCCTGATTCAAATATAGATCCTTGTGTAGAACTAGTTCCACAACTATGCAAGCCTGCATTTCATTGGATCTGTCCTCATTCCATAGGCAAATATGCTGCCTGAGGAAGGCAAACACTCTCGATCAGCTCTGACAATCGTAGGGAAGAGTACCTTGTCTCCAGGGACATCATTGGGGTACATGTCCAATGCCCTTTGATCAACAGTCAGGATGTTGCCTAACGCGCTTCTGGACTGGCCTTCTATTTCTTCTAAGTCCAACCAAAGGCATTCCTCTTGTAAGGATTCAAAATCGGAGCAAGCCTGTAACTTTGCAAGAATTGAGTCAAAATCGGAGGTAGTGACATCAATGTGTTTTTCTGATGAACCTTTGTTTGGTCTTTTGACTCTTTTCCTAGTTGGATGTTGACTAGTACTTAGTCTTGACAGTGCAAATAGAAAATCTTTTGCATCATGGCCCTTGCATGGTTTTCTGACTGAGCAACTGCAGCTTACATCTCTGTAATGAAGATGACCTGGTGCCGTGACTATGATTTGATGAAGGCTCATAGTCCCTGGTATTGGCTTCAACTGTAGTTGTTTTAGATTAGCTTCTTCAGCATTTGCATCTCCTATCAGGTACAATTTGATGGATGTTTCACTTTCTAATTCGTCGACAAAAGCACTTGCTGACATTATGTCTTTGCCATGTCTTACTCGCAAATCTGCCATTCTCTTCAAGGTGCCACCAATCCCATCGGGTATTCCTTTCCCATGGCCCGCTTCATGGTAATTCCACATACCACCTTTAAAACCCTTTTCAAAGATAGTCTTTGAGAACAGGAAGAAGTTCCCCTTTTGCCTATATTGTGTACATGGGTCATCACTGAAAAAATGGATGTAGTCTATTTGTGGATACTTATCTCTTATTTAAGTAAGAATTGGATTGAGATGCACCCAGATAGCTGCAGGCCCATGTTGTAGAGAGTCTGACACTGTAGTAAATGTTGTGCATTCTGGTTTGTCATTGATCTTGATGAAACAGGGACCTGTGTGTAGGGTTATCTGAGTTTTTGATGCACCAAAGTGCATGCTTTGGATTTCAGACGCAAGTTTCCCTTCATAATTTTCGGCAAAATCAATGTGGAGGAGACACTCATTGTGACTAAGGTTCTCCCGAATGTGTTTATAATAGGAGAACTGGTTGTTGATGTTGTATGAATGTTTCTGGGTATCTCCATATTTGTTCATGAAATTGGTCCACCAGATCTCCAATGGTGCCTTGTACTGTATGTTTCTGGGTGATGGTAATGTCTTTGACTTTTCCTCGGATTGTTCGACTTTCCTTGACAGTTTTCCACTGAATCCAAGAGACTGTGTCGTTGACATTTGGAACCTTTTCTATGATTTTCCTTTCGGAACATGTCGCACAGATGCCATACATGCATGTTTTGTTCATTGTGTCACAGGCAATGCTTTTCACAAGTAATTGCAGGCCACAACTTTGAATCAAATTGAGATCCTGTAGCTTTTTTGATAGGTAGCTGACATTTTCACATGCTTTACATAAACACGTTTTTCGATCCATTTCTGTTTGAGACATCACCCAAAATGGTCTCAGACGTGTAAATGTCATGTAACTAATTTTGTCTTCTGATTCAGAACAAAACTTTTTGTGCAGATTCACCATGGTGTCATTTAATAAACGTTTCTGTCGTTTGACTTTGTGTCTTGTGACTGTGTTTTTCATTCCGGTTGTAATTCGTGTCACAACCTCACGGAGAAAGAATAAACGTACACTCTTTTCTAACCTCTGTTACAAACTGCCTGCTTTAGAACTATTTCCTTTCCCAGCAAAACACCTAATTTGTTTTTCAGCATGCACTGTCAGTTTGTATTCCCTGAGAATATTTCCTCTTGACATTTTGGTTTCGTTTCACTGATTGTTTATACAGTCTCCATTTCTTTTTACTCGTTCTATGCTCTCTTGGAGTCATGTCCTGAACCAACTTTTTCTTTCCACATTTTTTGTCGTTTTGATACTTTTGTTTTTCTTTAGATAGGTAAGATTGTCTTTTCGTTGGATCCGCATCTCGCCTTGCCCTATATCAGTGCTGCTTCTCTGCCTTTGCGATAGCCATGTTGCCTGTGGGAGAAAAAGCAACATTGTATTATGCTGTTGTTTGATAGATTCTACACTATTACCAAAAAGTTCTATTGTGTTTCTTATTCAAATCATATATTAAATTTGACCTGTTTAATTATGTGACACATGGCCTATCAATAAGAACTACAATTTTGATCAGTGGAAGACAGTCAAGGCATAAGATACACCTGTAATATTATCTGATAGACAAAGGATTTCCATCCTGTTACCTAACTACATCCCTGCTGTTACTAGTTAACATTAAGTTGCTGGTAATATGTTCAAATTTCACAACATTGGAAGATACAATTTCCCTTGATTTTTACGAACATGGATTGTATTAAACTTCTACTAACCAATGCTGGACCTGTCAACACAAATTATATATTTGTAAAAGATTTCTATCCTGTTACTTTTTTCCTTCCTGTTATCTTCAAAAGTCATTGTTCTAGGTTTGCCGGTTTGTTTTAACTTTAAACCAAAACCAAATTACACTCTCAACCTTCAAACCAAAATATGTAGTCAGTCTTATGCCTGGGTAATTTTTTTAAATGGCTGGTCCTTTTAAATGGCTGGTCCTTTTAAATTCTTGTACATGCTTCATGAAAGCTCTCTCCTGTTACTTTTTTCTTCTTTCCTGTTACCAAAGCCATGGTAACAGGAGGGAAAATATGTTACAAAGAAATTCTTTATTATAAATGGAGGGTCCCTATGCAACTAAAAATGGGGGGGAATTGAAGAGACAGTAGAACTCCAGTTATGTGAACAGTTTCAAAAGAACATTTTTTATTAATTACCCAGCAATATGACGGTAACAGTAGAGAACCTTGAGAAAAGGTCTACTTACCTGTAAGACCGACGACTGCATAAAAGATGGACTTTCAGGAACCAGAAGACCAGAAAGAAGTTTCCATGTGGTGTACAGGAAGTGCTAATGTGCATGACACTAGCCTCACTTCCAAATTAGGGAGAATTAATTGTATTATGATGGTACTTAGCTGTTGGTAACAGGAGAGAAAGTAGTTTGATGGACATACTATTTATACAATTTATTTCACATCCAATATGCCCCAAAACAATATCTACACTATTTTGTGATAAATTCAGTGTATAAAATATCAGACTGATGTAAAATAATTTTCAAAAAGTTATTTTTAATGCTAAAGCTGAGCTAGTAAAAACTATGTTCATGAAAATGGACAGGCATTTTTTCATACCCTTAACTTGAGAAAAGACGTATACTGTTCCCCCCACAAATATTCTTGTTAAAGGACATCATTTTCTGATTCAACATTAAACATATTAAACATAAACAGTTATTTTGAACAAAAATCATTCTAAATAAAGCAATCGTTGGAAGCAGAATGGGCCGGACAGGAATGTTGACATTTTTTGACAATGACCCATATATCAGTCGTATTGTCATGTATCTATATATCAGTCGTATTGTCATGTATCTATATATTATACTCTTACTTAAACTGTCTGGATGTTCACACCTCGTTATCTCGAAGTTACAACACTGTCCCGCTAGGTTCGAGGTAACAGGGTTAGACTGTACATATTTCTTTGCTTAAAATATATTTTCAGTTCTGCAAACTGTTAAGGGTGTACTATGCATCCTTTGTAGTTAAGCTCAGAACTTTTTAGCCACCCATCATATATAAATGTATATTTTCTGCATTGCAGGAATCATGGCCAACACCCCATATCTTCAGTTAGAGCAAATAGGTTTATACACAGTTTACTGCCCTGCCCCTGCCTGCCCCCGACACCCCTACCTCCCAACCCCAAACACTCACCCTGACACATTTACTCTCAATATGCTAAAACTAGGACCGTGAGCAATCAGTCATGGTAGCACTATGTGTGTGTGAAGTAAATGAAAATATCAGAAGTAAATTTATTCCATCCAATCAATAAACAAACATGAACCAAACCCATTAATGTCTGAGTCATTGAACATATGATGTTTTCACTATTTACTTGTCACTTTGATACTTATTAATGCAGTTCTTCAGGTTTAGTTAGCTATGCAAGTCCAGGTTTCTTGTCTGAACACATGAAAGTTGTGATGGATCATATGCTACATGCACACTGACCCTACTCTCCAGTCTCACACTTATTCTGCTGTCGCAATATGGAACACCAAGCATGAATGATTCGTAAGATGATATATAATGTGTTCAACACAAAGTTATCACGTAAACATATCTTCAAAATGTTTAGTTTTCTATGCCTATGACCAAGTGATCTGTCTATTTTAACACAAAATTAGAAACTAAAGCAATGCTGTGTATGACCCTAGGTAATGAACGTAACGTATGTTTAATCATTGAGAGAATTTAATGAACTTAGTTATGCTTTATGTTGATAAGATTGTTTAGAAAAGTTAAAGTATAAGTGCATTGAAGAGTGTACATTTTAGAACTGACTTTGGCCTAGGTTTGTCAGCACCATACCCTTGCTCATGGGTTTCACCGAAGTGGTAAACGTCTGAGACCCGCATCACTTCGGGCTTTCCTCCCACATTAAGCTGACACACCGCGATATAACTGTAATACTGTTAAAAGCGGCGATAAACCCAACTCACTCACTCACCTTTTGTGGGACCGCCTCCGTGGTCTTGTGGTAGAGTGTCGCCCCGGAGAGCGGAAGGTCCGGGGTTTGATCCCCATCAGCGTCATACAAAAAGACGTTAAAAGATTGTACTTGTTGTTACCCTGTCTGGCGCTCGGCATTAAGGGGCTAAAACAAGGACTGGTCGGCTCGGAGTCAGTATACTGTGTCTGAGTGGGGTATTCATGTTAAACTGCGACATGGTATCTCAGTGTGCTAGCACTATAAATCGGCATCAGTTCGGACTAGTACAAGCAGCTACACACACACATACACGTGCATGCACGTCGCTATATAAGTGTAATAATCTTGGACGCGACGTTAAACCCAATTTCACCTCACCTCACCTCACCTTACCTCACCTTTTGTAGCATAAACTATTTTTTACTGAAACCTACGTTATCAACACACCACAAAACTAAAATTATAGTTATCGAAACATCATAAATGCAAACAATAAACTTCATTTTGTCAAAACATCAGTTGTGTAAGAGGCAGGGGTTTTACTGTGTACATAGTGGTCAAAGAACACTGATCTTGTCTTCCAACGACCCATGCGCATAGTTGTATCTGGTTCAAACCCCATTTCTATAGCCTTAGTCGCCCCCCTCAGCCTAAAAGATTTAGCTGTATAACATCCACCTAAACCTGCTAACCTGATTGCTTCGTTTAGGATAGAACCGACTGTTGCAGCAGTTATTGACCAACCTTTTTGTTCTAGATTCCGTCTCCACACACTCTCCAGGCGTATAGGCGCCATTTGTGATTTCTCAAAGGTTCCACCCTGCTCGTTGAACTTTGAATTGTCCAGGAGGTCTTTGGAATTCGAATTGGGGAATAGGTCAATATCGTTCTCAGTTTGTGAAACCATGGTCTGTTTCTCCACAGTCGTGATGCACACTGACCCTACTCTCCTGTCTCACACTCATTCTGCTGTAGCAATATGGAACACCAAGCATGAATGATTCGTAAGATGATATATAATGTGTTCAACACAAAGTTATCACGTAAACATATCTTGTGGAGTGTGC